ACTTTTCCTTATGCATCATTAGCACAAGAGTAGCAAGCAGATTTGGTCCCACGACAGCTCCATCTAAAAACAAGCACAAACAAGTTCTATACCAAAATCTTCAAAGTAAAGTGTGCCATCAAACGGTATCAAAGTTTCCTAGTTATGTCACTTCTTTTTAACAAACTTGATGTTTAATGCTCTAGTTCCAAAACTAGTAGAGTAGCTTAATATTTTGATACTATCTCGCCTAGGAACGATCGAGCAACACCTGACCAAAGCAGGACGAAATTTGAACACGTAAGGAACCTTTCTCCAATTTTGGTTATATCACTGGTCCCGCTCTTTATGTTTTATCTGCTAGAACGCTTGATCATGTTCAGTAGTAGACCAGTAACACCTTCAAAGGATCCAATGGAAGACTGGCAAAGAAGGAGACTTCCAACATCGGCTCAATCATCTATTAGGCTCACTAGTGTCAACCTAGAGAAATTCGCAGCACACTGGACGAAGAACTTTTGAAAACATTCATTACGTAGAGCGCATTTACACTATACAAGACTCATTGAATTACTGCGAGAGCACAAAGGAGTGCTCTGTTTCACATTCATTATATAATCATTTTACAATAGACGTAGGGCCGTCAAACGGTACGTAATATCCACGCGCCATAATCTTTCTTTAGTGATCGTCTATCTATAGGAGCTCGGAGAAGTGGTTTTTTGAAATCCGATTTCGTTGTGGAGTCTTAAGTGTTTCGTTTGAAACAGGTAGAGGTCGAACCAACCGCGGTATAAAGGACAATGTTCAAACGGCGGCCCAAGTTTGTCACATATTTCTGGAATAGTTCCTATTTCCATATTGTTATTAGTTTCTTACATTAGCGTTTACTTGTGATTTTTGTACATCGATCCTTCTATACGCTTCAACGACAACCGATGGACGAGAGCCGTTACCGACTGGATTCCTCGGGACGTTAAGCGCTCTAAAGGAAGACCACTGACCCGTTGGTCCGATTTCTTCACGAAAGCGATAGAAGAATGATATGATGCTCAGCGAATCCCTAGAGCGAAGAGGACCCACTGGGCTACTCTTGCACGCGATAGGGAAAAATGGAAGAGTTGCTGATACCCGCTCGAGTCACTCGACGATCAACGGGACGACAGGTGATACAGGTGATACAGGTGATCCTTCTTTACTTAAGTCTTTTTGAACATTCTGCTCTAGCTGTCACATGATTTCACATGAACTTATACTACAAGTTTTTTCTAGAAACGATAACATAGATTTCTAACGAACCTTTAGTATTAGCATCATTATTTCTTTCTCACTGAATTGCGCTCTTGTAACCCTTTATGCTTTGAACTTTCTCTTCCATCAGTTAATTGTCTGTACCCTATGTGCGCGTACTTTTTGTCAGCCACATTTCCCTTAGTGTAAGGCTTCATTAAACAGAGCCTTTGTCATCAGCCCATGAATGAGATCTAGGTTTCGAGAGTTTGTGTAGTGAAATGCTCCAGTTATGTGACCAACTTCGTACCCGACCTTTCAACTATATATCATCGGAATGCTCATCCGTATTGTTGTTATTGTTATGAACATCTGCAACCTAAACTTAAGTTGTTCTCCGTGCCTATGTTGGAAATCCAGCGTGGCAAACTCGTACAAGAACGAGCATTCTATTCGAGTTAGTAACTGAACTGTACTGAAGCTGACCCGAAACTCTATACGCTGCTAAAGAAAACGATACAGTGACAGCGGAAATTGATTCTGACAATTACTCGGAATTATTAGTATTTCAACGCATTTCGCATTGTTTTGATGTTTTCAACATACCTGAGAGAATTGAGTGGTGAGCAAAAACGCGGCCTTAAGCGGGAATCGAACCCGCGTTTCATTCTATCCGGGGACGCGTGCTCTAACCACTACGTTTTTGCTCACTACTCAATTCTCTTAGGAATATTGAAAGCATCATAACAATGCGAAATGCATTGAAATACTAATAATTCCGAGTATTAGTAATTAGAATTGCTGTCAGCTCAACTGGGTTTATAAAGCGAAATCGCACACCCGAACAAACCTGTCAAAGGTTGGTGGCTGATAGCTAACATGGAGATGTTGAAGAATGAGTGGTCGGGCTGATGTGCCTTGGTGGTGTAGTGGTTAGAGCACGCGTCCCCGGATAGGTTGAAACGCGGGTTCAATTCCCGCATGAGGCTGCGTTTTTGCTCACCACTCAATTCCCTTAGGTATATTGAAAACATCATAATAATGCGAAATGCATTGAAATACTAATAATTCCGAGTATTAGTAATTAGAATTGCTGTCAGCTCAACTGGGTTTATAAAGCGAAATCGCACACCCGAACAAACCTGTCAAAGGTTGATGGCTGATAGCTAACATAGAGATGTTGTAGAATGAGTGGTCGGGCAAATCCTCTGACAATTACGTCATAATTTTGTGATGTTTTGACTGCTTTTTCAATATACCTAAGATAATTGAGTGGTGAGCAAAAATAGGTAGCACTCATCCCCGATATGGATGAAACGCAGGTTCGACTCCCGTCTGAGGTCGTATTTTTGCTCAGCACTCAATTACATCATCTTGAAGCAATTCCCAAGACCGACTAGAGCTTAACCTCGGCATTGATCGAATAATTCCGTAATTTCTAATTCAACAAACACGATGTTAAAAGACGATCCATTTAGCGTAGTGTAGACAGTGTACAACATAAGATTCACTACAGTACTACAGCTTGCTAAGGTTCCTGCAGTTTTGCCTTCTCTAGAGCCTGAAGGAATCCTATTGACGTGCAACTTACTTAGATGAACACTTTCATGACTACAACAGAAAAAATCTTGAACGAAAATGGTAAATCGTGAAGTAATCAGCTTTCTTTTAACTCACTGTTTTTTTCTTTTGCAGACCGCTAACTATGTAGACCGGCCGCGCCGAGCCTTGCATGGGCGAGATGGGTGCCTGGCTCAGATTCATGAAAATCTATCAAAATGCAAAAGATCGCGAAATCATCCGTGAATACGAGGCATTCATCTTTGCAATTCAAATATGGATTCTTCGTATAAATCCAAAACTTCGAAATTCGAGGATTTTCTGTGCTGAGGTTTCACGTTCCTCTGCGAGAATAGTCAATCCTACTTTAAAGTTCATCTACTTATGCATCTGTATCATTATGCGTACCTAGTGATGTTCCTGAATCGAATTTGTCTCTGTTGTTCAAGTGTTCTTTGATGCAGACAAAGAGAGGCCTTCCCGTTTCGCTAGTTTATTTGCCACCGCGCATTTTCCAAGAAATTAATTGAATTTGAACGTTGAGAAATGATAGCCAATTTTCTTTAGGCGATCCACAAATAAATCTTGTGTACTGTGACTGTTCATTCAACAATTTGAAACATCTGTCCGTCTCGTCATATGTGGAATAGATAGCAAAGCAATCATTTATGCATCTACAGTAAAGTAGTAGTTGAAGACTAATTATTAAGACTTCAGACATGAATGCGATAGCAAAAAGTGGCGCCAATCGCTGACCATTGTCATCTCTCTCATGTGTGCGAAGTATATCCCGAGCCATCTGAAGTCTGAGCATTTCGGGCACCCATCTAGTAGAACTATCAGCTGCTTAATTGGACAAGCCATAAATGTTTATGGTCCCTTGGTACTGTATGAGGAGCTCGTGGATAGCTTCTGATGCAGTCTTGCGACACATTAGTACAAAAAGCATTGACGTCGAAGTACTCCGTTACGTCCCGCTGTTAGGAGGCGCGTTACGTAGACAATGCGAACGAACCTTCAGTATTAAGTCTACACCCATTACTCTACTGTAGATACATTGGTGATTGCTTTGTTATCTATTCCACACATGAACAGGCGGACAGACGTTTCGTATAGTTAGACGAACAGTTCGAGTACATAAGATTCATGCGTGAGCTACTTAGAAAAAACGTGGTTTTTTTTGCTAACATTCAAGTCGGCAACTATCCGAAAACGGCTACATCACTAAGTGGTGTTAAAAGTCAACTAATAAAAATATTTTGGTTCATTGTCTTGCATCTCTTACCCTATACAAAAAAGATGCTTGTTAAAAACTGTTAAAAACATGTTGCTCACAGCTGCCTGTGTGTGTACAGAAAGAGGCCAGAGGGTAGAATCCACGGAATTGGCGGTCAAAGTCCCGCAAGGAGCAGGACTTTAATGTAGAAGTGGAGATTCTCGCACAAGAACGTAAGATTTCGACGCGCAATGTTCTTGAAGCCTTATGGATAGATATCAAAAATCCGAAACTAAATCAAAGATGGGTGTCTTGTGATCACGCATAATTTCGCAACATATCTTGAATTGATTGGTTAATGCAATTCGTGTGCTTTTGGCAAAACGAAGCTAATTGGGCACTTGAGGCACGTAGTAACGGCAAGTGAAGACAGTGATCGTTCTTGCTCTAATTATTAGATGATTAGCTAGGTTGACAATATCTAGAAGCTTTCGACATAGAAGTAGTGATGTAATCATCATAGGAGCGGTACTAGTTCGACCTCGCGTGCTTAAGTCTTCCAATCGCTCGGTCTAATTGGTGAGAGACTCATAGGGATTAGTTCACTCCTCAAATCCTAACAAGAACACTCAATATAAAGGACGAAACGAATAGGAAAAGTATTGGAACGCACACCGTGTATGCAGAAGGATTATGTGAGCGCACATGTGAAAGAGCGATATTCATTTGATTGAAATATTTATGACTTTGTAATGATGACATGATCTACCTGAATGCAATAATATTATGTGTAGAAATGTTTCCCATTCAACTCGGTTGTCATTACTGAGTCTAAATCCGACCTCTTCAAATGTTAAAATATAACGTAATGATCTAGCCCCGTATCTAGATCCTCTGCCCATTTTGCACGTCACATTAGCAAATCCTAATGGAAAACTGATCCGACAGGGGCTTGTGATGGAGCCTTTATAACGCTCTAATATAGCTAAGAGAATTGAGTGGTGAACAAAAACACGGCCTCAATTGGGAATCGAACCCACGTTTCATCCTATCCGGGGACGCGTGCTCTACCACTACACCACTGAGGCACATTTGCACGACCACTCATTCTTTAACATCTCTATGTTAGCTATCAGCCACCAACCTTCAACTGGTTTGGTCGGATATGCGATTTCGCTTTATAAATCCCGTTAAGCTGACAGCCATTGTTATATATAATACTTCGAAATTATAGTATTTTCACAGTATAGGTATTAGCTTTAGTATAGGTATTAGCTTTACATTTTCAGTATAGGTATCAGCTCTAATATAGAACAACAGACCTGTAGAACTTTGAAATTTGTGAATATTGCAAAATTAATTGAATGTTAAGCGCATAAAATGCGAAAAGAAGTACCAGATGGTCATGAGATGACACTCTCGGTGAAATCAAAAATTTGGCATAGAAAATTGGGGAATTCCGTAGAAATAGCGATCATCCAAGTAGATTTTTTTATTTACAAGCAGACTGAAAGAATCAGACCAAGTTTGTTTATCTCTATCTCAACTTCTTCACCCTCAAAGCCGAATTAGTTGAGGTTGATGGTTAATAGCAACTTTTTCTCGGGATATGGGTCTCCATAGTCGTATCGAGTCGAATCTAGTGAAGGGGAGCACAACTCAGTACAAGCACAACGAAGCAAAGTCACGTCCCAATACCTTCCATACAATACTTGGTGGTCTATACAATTATATCAATTTGATTCATGATGGAAATGCATTATACAGCATTGGATACTATTTTCTTCTGACATTATCTCTCATTCAGAGGATAGTTGACAGTCGACTTTTGGAAACATAAGATGAAGTTCTTCTCAATCTTTCCTCTTTATTCTGTTTTTGCTTTTATCAAAGATAAAGAAATAAATTGCGAGTTCTCATAGTGCAAGTAATGCTACAGATGTAATTAGGAGATTAATCCAATAATGTGATAAGAGACATAGAATCCCATTCTCAAATATATCCACACACATCTCTCTCTTTCTAACACCATAAAAGCCTGCCACCTTTTCCAATCACAAAAAGAGATTCGATCGCAATTGTTCACCAGAATTTCCGGATTCTTGATGGAAGAGAGTCATCAACTGCTTTAAAAGACTACTGTTTACGAAATCACTGACTACGCGAGAACTATGTGGTCGTTGAAAACCAATCAAAGACGAAATTCACTAGTCAAACTAGCACTGAAAATTTGTCATTGATGAGTTGACTCTTTTACGAAACAGCACTTGTTTGTCTTCTCTATGATTCCGCATATCGTTAGCAAACGCATGAGCCAACATGCATCGTTAACAGATTGAGAGCTAATGAGCGATATTCGATACATTCGTGAGTGGCTCTGAAGAGTAAAAAATTTGCTTGAAGCGAATTCTTAATATTTAAGTAAAAACGGGAAGCAAATCTCAAGAAATGCTGTATCACTATACTCTCCATGAATCTTCTATGAATCTGATCCTTCGAATAAGATTTTTCGCTGCAAACTGTAAAAGAGTGGTACTATGTGATCTCCAATATTTGTCATATTATGTGTCATATTACTAATTGGAATCTCGTGGTTTAATGATCTGATAGGATAAGGTGCTATCCACGATAGGTCGATTTGAGTCTATATTTCGCGACAAAGTATATTAGGTTAGAAATAAAATTTCCATAGTTCGGACGGAAAATGTCGTTTTTCACATGCATCGTGTGTGGTTTTCATATCATTCAAAAGGTCTAACTCTTGCGCATCTATTGATATATAATTTGTTGGCCGACAAGTCAGCTAAGAAGTACTCGAAGCTTGTTCGCCGAAAGCGCGCTTTGTTTCAACAAGACAACGCAAAACCACACACAGCCAAAAAGACCAAGGCAAAGCTTGAGGAATTGAACGGAGTTGAGATTCTAGCGTAACTACTTTATAGTCCGGACGTTGCTCCATCTGACTATGGCCTTTTCCGATCAATGCAATACTTTTTGGAAGGCCGCCGATTTGAATTTTTCGATGAAGTTGAAGAAGCATGTCAAGAGTTCTTTGATTCAAAGCCGAAGGAGTGGTACTTCAATCGGATGCGAAACCTGACGGACCGATGACAAAAAGTGGTGGATAATGATGGCTTGCATTTCGAAAAATAACTGCTATTGTTTGTTGTCTGAATATATACATAAATTATGAATGTTCTATGAAACGATAGAAACTTTATTTCCAACCTAGTAATAATTACGATGAGAGCACTGAGACTCTTATTGGATTCTATCACGGCTATCAGTGAAGGATTATGAGACTGCACAATGAAAATTCCGCCAACTTAGGAGTGTATAACCAAATATACGACAAAATAATCTATGCAGCAGTAATTATCTTGTGAGTGTGCCATAGATTGTTCAGTGAAATTAGATTCCAATCTACTGAATGCTGGTAACAACGTTTAGGGCTAGGATTTTTCAAGGAAAAACGCGAATCCTCTCTGAAGAAATTTATTTGAGCTTATTAGATCATATGTGGATTCACATAGATGTTAATCGACTAAAATTACACATATTCTCAAGTTTCTCTTCTCGGAATTAAAAAAAAATGGTAATTTCGTACTATGGTGAAGTATCGACCTTTTTGATGGACAGAGGTTTTCAATTGAAGCTTGAGTATTTATTGGAAAGATTGAATTTCGTTATTTACAACGATATACTTAATTCTCTATAAAAGGCCTTTTCACTGAGCCGTAGCAGCGAAAATAATTGCGTTTCCTATGCTTTATCGTGCGTAATTTCGTGATTTGTTCAAAAATCTCTTCTCCGTTTCGGGAAGATTTTTAGGTTTTTTTTAATTAAAATGTGATATAATTTTTGTTCATTCGTTTCGTGAGCTTGGACATTTTACTTTACTTCAATGCTCTCAAATAAACCCGCTAACAAGCCTAAGCCTATGCACGGAAGCAAATGAACGTGTAAAGGATACCTTGGAGACACACTGCGCGATTGATCAGTCGAACTGAACGATCAGGTCGCCGCAAAAAGGTTATAATTCCGAGCGTGAAATGTTATCCTATTTTTGTTGCAATAGCATTCTAGGAAAATTTAAAAAAAAAGACTAAAATATCAAAATCGCCAAAGTTAAGCAATTAACTGCTTACTAAAAGTCCGCTAGAATTTATGTCCAGCAGAAAAGGCCCATGCTTCCTCATAACAGAAATGTGATCCACTTTGAAGCCTAATGGTCGGACAAGTGAAAGTGAAACGTAATCTTATTTTCGTTTCTGCAGGCCACTGAATCACAAAAAACGCCGCTTTAGAATCGTCGTTATTCGAGTTATTGAGTGATTATTTAAAGTCTGAGGGAATCGGGAATTGTGCGCGTCGAATGTGGAACGTGATACTATCTTCGCTAGTGCACGCTCCAAGGAGACTCTATATAAAAAGTCAGTTGCAGTAGTAAAATTTTCGAGATTTAAGTTTTTCCAACAAACAGTAAGAATCTAGCGAAAAATTTTTGTTCGCCAAAAAACGCAAATGCTTTCTCGTTACACAAAAGTACCGAATAAACTCACGATTTGGCCCTAGTACACTGCTTGCATTCCTTTTATTGGGAGCAACCACGCTCATGTGAGATTATGAACGATATGCTATAGTGAGAAAATATCCCAAGACTGACTATTTATTAACCTCGGCATAGTTTCAATAAATGAGTATTTTCTTCCATTTAGCCGTCCCAAGGTGTTATTGATATTATTTATTGAATATTAGCGAGGCATACAACTACAGAGAAATTATCTCCAGCTTTTATCAGAATTAGATGGGAGTGCAAGGTTCCATGAGCACATGACCTCATAACATCGATTAATCCTTCCTTAGCTGATTTCCAAAGTGTTTTGGTGATGTGATGAGATTTTAGCTCAAATGAGAGCTAATAGGAGCTATGGCCGAAGTTTTGAGCCTGACAATATTTCAGTACTTGATTTGTAAGAGACGACATGTGCCAGTTCAGGTGCACGACTGTTTGAAAAGCCTTTTTCGCTGAAAAAAAAAAACTTTTTTAGACACATTATAACTATTCATAAACCTTCGCGATCTCAACAGTTTGTTTATGTTTTGAAAGACCCTTATATCTCATTGTAAAACGCAAGTAAAATCAACTCTTACAAGGTTCAAATTTCGCGGATTTCGATGCTGTACTTGATTTTTTTTCAAATTTTCAAAAGCTTTTTTTGATTTTTTCAAATGCTATCGTAGAGCGCTGTAACACGGAAAAGGTGACCACGTTCCGCACTTAAAGCTTTAACGTACAGAAAAGTTAGATATGAGCGAAAAACATGTGACCATTTAGAGGAAGTCATGCAGTATCAGAATAATACAAAAAACTTAAGGTTTTCTTTATTAACTGGAGGAAAAGCCCTAATTGAATAACGAAAATCGCGCGCCTTTTGGGAGTTGCGCTGGGTGATCGATCATCTGGCGTCCCTAAAGGGTTAAAACAATCAAGAGCTCAACTCTGTTTGAACCACGAGCATTTGAATTGAATTGTTACTCCATCTAGAATTCGCTAAAGTGTATGTGGCCTGGTGTGCCTAGTGTTTAATAACATGAGCGTAAGAATTGTAGTTTTGGCAAAATTTAGGGAATAACGTCATTCTCTCCAGCTTTTAGTCAGATCACTTCTTTTACTTCTCGTACACTTTGAACACTCTTATTTGAAAATAATAGAATCAGGACCATTAAGTCTTCGCTAGCGATGTGCAAGGTGGCTAAATTTTGCTAAGATAAGGTTCTGATTTTTTGGAGCCTGCGGTGTATTTTATCACTTTATTTTTGACCAGTGCTCATGTTGCGAAGGGGGAATTACTTGAGCGAGCTGCGTTCCATCCAACAAGACTTAGTGGTGCTTGTTAATGTGTGGTTAACTCTTTTTATCATCTCGACTGCGTGAAAAACTTCAAAGATTTCCGTTCTACTTTTGATTTTTCAAGAATCTATGTTCTAAACGAGTTTAAAATTGAGGAAATATTCGATGAAGATTATTGAAGGTAGTTATGAAAAGTTAGTTCTACAGATCTATAGAATTATTTCCCGTTGAAGT